CGAGAGCTGTGCACACGTGCAGGCGAAGCGCAGTCAGGACAGTGGGAACCGCAGCGCAAAGACCTGAGGGTGGAAATGTGCCTGGATGTTGAAGGGGCAGCAAGGAGACCGGGATGGCGGAGCAGCATGAGACGGGAAAGCCGGCAGGAGATGAGGCCGAGTAGGGCCAGATTCTGGCGGTCCTGGCAAGAACCCTTCCACTGGGTGACAAGGGAAGTCACTGGAGGGTTTTGAGCAGGGTATGACAAGAAGTGACCTGCATCCCATCCAGTACTTAGTTTACTCTTCCAGAACTGGAATTGTCTTGCCCGTGGCTCATTGAAAGATACGGAGGTGCAAGGGGTTAAGTGATTTGCCCCAGGGAGCGAAGCTAGTATGCAGGGGAGCTGGGACTCGGAGCCAGGTCTGCCTGACTCTGGGGTTCTCTCTACCACTCACGCTTAACTTGCTCCTGCTCTGGCCTCGGCCCTCACCATCCTTCCCCCACCAGGCCTTAGCCAGCCGTGGCTCTCCTCATCTCCCACCCACAACAGCCAGCAGCCAAGAGGCCTGGGGACTCCAGCTTTCTCACCAGCTGGGGAGGGGGGACCAGATGCTTGGGCTTAAGGAGGAAAAAAAGAAAGATAGACAAGCCCCAAGCTTAGGGTCCTCTTACCTGTCATTTGTTTGTCTGCAAAGTTGTATGGGACAGAGGGGGTGGGCACAGCCAGTCCATGGTTCTCCCGGGCATCCTGAAAGAGAGCAGAACAGTTAGGGGACAGGGAAAGACATATGGTTCTTAAATCACTACTCCGTGAGGCCATTTTATTGCTGGAAAATCCACAGTGATGGTTGCACAACCTTGTGAGTATACTAAAATGTAAAAGGGCTCATTTAAAAGGGTGAATTTTATGATATAGTCGAGTCTTGTTATTCGCAGTATTTAGGGTCTATAAAGTTGCTGCGAACACTCAATTAGCAAAAACTGGATCAAAATGCCCGAGGGAAACAAACGTAAGGTAGACAGCCAGTGGGAAGCAGCCGCATGGCACAGGGATACCGGCTCGGTTCTCTGTGGCTGCCTGGAGGGGTGGGATAGGGAGGGTGGGAGGGAGGGAGACAAAGAGGGAAGAGATATGGGAACATATGTATATGTATAACTGATTCACTCTGTTATAAAGCAGAAACTAACACACCATTGTAAAGCAATTATACCCCAATAAAGATGTTAAAAAAAATAAATAAATGCCCGAGGGAAATACAGGGTTAGGTTCCTGTAAACCTTGGTCAAGGCACCTTCATCAGCTGATCAATACATAACTTTGTTTTATGCGTGTTTCTGTTTAAAGAGACCTTATTTAATATCTATTGTTGACTCACTGACACTGAACTCATGGCCAACAGCACCATAACTCACACCTTCGGAGCTTACCTAAGGCACGTATTTTCTCTGTAAGGCACCTCACCTAGCCTCCTCGCATGTAGGGATGTCAGACGGCACATCAGCCCTATGCTTGGGGACCATTTTAAATAGCAAAATCACCAACAAAAAGCAAAGAAATATGAAAAAACATGGCACTAAATAGAAAAGGATGCTTATTTACAGCATGAGGGCTGAAACAAGAAAGCAAAGTGTCTTGTTCGACCTCAGCAGGGCCCGTGTGCATCAGGTGACTCAAATTTTTCACTACTCTGCGTATGTCCAGAGCACCTTGAGTGCTGATTTGGGGGGTTACAAATAAATTTTAGCAAGTAGGCGAATTTGCAGGTACAGAATCCGCAAATAATGAGAATCAACTGTATATAAATTGTATCTCAGTTAGAACAGAACAAACAAAAAAATTCTGCGTGACTCCCCAGGGATGGCCACAAGATAAAAAGCCAAACCCCTCAGCCTGGCCTCCTGTTCACGCTTAGTTTTCATTAGGTATTTACAGAAAAGTACCCAAGTAAAAAGTGGTGAACTGGAGTATCGACAGCACTGCAGATGCCCTTCTGATCTCTAAGCTTGGCAGACCATAACGCGTTTATACAGCTGTCGGTTTGTACATACTATTTTACATTCTTTTTTTTTTCCCCCAAACACACATTTCCATATGTCAACAACATCCACACACCTGTCCTTTGGAGGAGCTGTGGAGCATCTTATGGTCACTTTCAAGGTCCTCAACACCCTGGCCTCATCCTTCCCAGCCAATGTTTATTTCCACTCACCTGTTACAGCCATCCTGCATTCTAGCTGGACCAACTCCCTCTCCAGGATCCTTCCAACCCACACATCTGGTTCACGTTCATCCCTGACGCTGGGTGCTGGTCAGGCTGTGCTCCTCTTCCCACCCTCCATTTCTAACAATACCACCCCTTGCTCTGTGCTCTAAACATATGATCGCCATCATACCACTCTGTGGAGAAGCTATCCCCATTTGTCAGAGACCGTGGAGGCTCAGAAATGTTTGGTAAGTTATCTATAGTCACATGACCAGTGCTGTCAAACCCAGGTCTGTGGCGCTCCCACCCCTGGGTATTTTGCTTCTCTAAAATCTAAGTCTCTCATCCTGCAAGGATTCACTGAGCCCCTCTAGAAAGATGGTAGCAGGGAAGGGGAAGCTCTGGAGCCAGACTGCCTGGATTTGAATTCCGGCTCTGCCACCTACTAGCTGTATGACTGTGCCAGTGACGTAAACTCTCAGTTTCCCTGACTATGAAACTGTGATGAAAATAGAATTTACCTATTCTAGGGAAGCTGTGAGGATTAAGTGATGCAATACACAAAAAGCACTTAGCTCCTGGCATGTAGTGAAAGCCCAATAAATGGTAGCTCTTGTTGTTATTCCTAAGGAGCCATCCCTTGTCTGCACCAGCCCACATTGACCTACCCTGTTCAGAGCAACCCACAGCCAAGCTCCATAGGGAGGACTTCTGTTTGCTCTCTAGATATTACCCCAGTTCCTCCAATAAGATGTGGTTGCTCCTTGGAGCCCAGGGACATGTTTTACACGAATCCCCCAAAGCGGGACACATAGTAAGCCAAGTTGTTACTCGCTGATGGGCTGATGGTGCTAACTCTCTAGACTTAATGGTTTAATATATAAGAAGGGGGATTCATGGTAGATGTTTCAGAAATATCCACAAGACCCTGGGTTACCAAGGGCAATCTCAGAATTACTCTCTGGCCATTTGAGGGCAACAAACAACTCAACTTCTTGTTCTTAAAGAATTCTGGGGACTTCCCTGGTGTCGCAGTGGTTAAGAATCCACCTGCCAATGCAGGGGACACGGGTTCGAGCCCTGGTCCGGGAAGATCCCACATGCCGCAGAGCAACTAAGCCCGTGCGCCACAACTACTGAGCCTGAGCTCTAGAGCCCACAGGCCAAAACTACTGAGCCCGCACACCATAACTACTGAAGCCACGGCCACTCCCGGCACTGCTGCCACAGAGCAGCCCTTGCTCAGTGCCTGGGGTAGAGTCCAGCCCTGGCCCTCATTCCCCATGGAACTGGGCCTCAGGCCTTCTGCGTCCCCACACCTGGACAACACCCAGAAGCTAAGATCGCTGGTCACCTCACGCACCTCACAGAGGGGTGCAAACCAGCTCCCCAGCTCAGTCAAGCAGCCCTTTAAAATCCCTCACAGCCTCATATATTGAAAAGTCACCCAGCAATGATTAGCTGGCAGGGCGGCTGGGGGCAGAAGTGCCATTCCAAGAATATTTATATATATTTTCTTCCTTATACTTGTCTCTATTTTCAGTTCTTAACAATGAACTTCTGTTTCCTTCATAATTTAAAAAAGCACACAGTACATAGTTTTGGTTTTTTTTTTTTTTAATTCTTGTAATCAAGAAGAAAGAGCATGGATTTTATAGGCAGGCAGACCAGATTGGCAATTTTTTTTTTTTTTTTTTTTGACCGCACCACGTGGCATGGGGGATCTTAGTTCCCACACCAGGGATCAAACCTGTGCCCCCTGCACTGGAAATGTAGAGTTTTAACCACTGGACAGCCAGGGAAGTCCCCAGATTGGCAATCTCAATTTAACTCCATCATCTCAAAGACAGAATCGGACACAAGGTCAGTGGTCGGGAAGTGTGCCCCCCTCTCGCCTTTTGAGGCTCAGTTTTCTCATCTGTAAGATGAGGTTGATCTCACCTCCCTTAGGTTTGTTGTGACACCCCACACCTAAAGATATCCTGCAGAGAAGCACTCGAGGAAGGGCACTTCCCCGGGGTCCTGGCCCTCAGGCCCTAACAAGGCAAAGTAGGTGAGCAGTGGCCTGAGTCCATGGACACTCTGCCTGGGCACAGCTCCCGGGATGTGTCTGCCCAGCTGGACCTGAAGAGATACATGGGCACTTCCCCGTAGTCAAAATCAGGTAGCCAGGAATCTCCTACTGCCCTTTCAACCACAGACATTTCAGAGTTGAAGAGAAGGAGGAAGGAAAGAGGGAAGGAGGAAGGGACGAAAGCATTCACTATTCAGGATGAGGTTGTCTCCGCCTTAATGTCACAGGGGGTCAGAGCCCATTGCTAGCCCCCGCTGCACCACCAAGGGCTCAGGGGACAGCCTTACCCCACCGATGGGCCCAGCCCTGCCCCCTTGGCCTCCCTGGGCCTGGGACACACACATCCTCATGCCTGGGATTCCTCAGAACCCAGGCAAGCCCCAAGGGTGGATCACCAAGGGCTTGGCCAATGGGCCACACACGGTTGCCTTGGACACAGGCCAGCTCGGTGCCTTAGTGACACATTGTGGAATGCAAACTTCCTCACCAGATTCCTCCAGTAGCCTGGCGGGGGCACTTCGGGGTGAGGTGTGGAGCTGCAGGGGGTGAAGGAGATGACCCTGAGTCAGAGTCAGAGCCAGGCACGGCTGGGGACACTGCTGTAGGCTGGGGGAGCAGGGGGACAGGCCCCCAGAGTGAGAGCCACAGGAAACCCCTCCAGGCACCCAACGTCCCCAGCTGGGTGAAGCCCAGCCGGTTAGTTGTTTCCTGGCTTTGCAGGGCAGTGTGAGGGTACGGAGTGTGTTCCCCACACAGCAGCTTCTCTGAAGCTGGGAACCAGTGAGCATTAAAAAAAAAAGAGCCCCAGGGCTTCCCTGGTGGTGCAGTGGTTGAGAGTCCGCCTGCTGACGCAGGGGACATGGGTTCACGCCCCGGTCCGGGAAGATCCCACATGCCGCGGAGCGGCTGGGCCCATGAGCCGTGGCCGCTGAGCCTGCGCGTCCGGAGCCTGTGCTCCGCAACGGGAGAGGCCACAGCGGTGAGAGGC